ACATTTATACAAGTTCATGGTTGTCATTGGAAATTCCCATGGTTGTGTCTTGCTAGTAGCTATCAAACTTAGCAATCTTGTTGCTGATAACTATGAAAATAAGTTTTTTAAAAGGAAAAAAAAAATCAAACTAGATATATATTTCACAAAACCCTTCTTATGTTTAATTGTTTTGAGATAACCACCTTAGCTATTTTAATAGATGCAAGAACCCCCCTTGACTTTGAGAGTTTTTCACATACGTTTTCGCTTTTAATTACGTAAAGTAACACCCCATGAAGTCTTACATGTAACCTGTCAAACATATGACTAAAAAAGAAGAAACTACTCCTCAACACTTAACAAATTACCCTTTAGTTCTTTTTTTATTATTTCCATTGTTTGGAGGTTCATTGAATGATATTTTCACCTTCATCATGTTTTTGGAACATGATAAATTAGCTTAATTTGAATGTGCTAATTTAGGGGGTTGGTTTGTGAAATTTACCCAAAGAACTATGGTACATGCCCATTTATGCCATGTATTATAGAGTTATAGCTCCTTATTAAGTTTATTCAATTTTGTTGGCATGCCTATATACACATCCAGATCTCCATGAGTCATGACGGCATGTTTTTGATGGAATTTGTAGAATACAACACTCTATACAAAGGAAACATTTATTGATAGAACACTTGAGAATACAACACTTGTTCTTACAAGAACACCTCACTTTCACACAACTCCTTTATTTTGGTGGACACTCACACAAGGCTACACTACACACTCAAGCTCTCAAGCTCACTTCTTGCTTGCTTGCCCAAATGAGAGCACAAGACCCCTATTTATAGTTGAGGGTTAGGAAGTGTGTAGAAAAGTTAATCCTAGCCATACATTACTAAGAAGTTTCTAGAAGAATAAATACTAACCATACATTTGTATCTTCCTAGAAACTTCATGGTAGATATTTTGTAGGATGTTACTAGAAAGAAGTTCTAGAAAGTTGTTCTAGAAAAATCTAAGTTGGTGAGGAATTCTAATACTCCCCCTCATCACCAACTTTCATTTCTCTCAAGTCCAAGCTTCTTCTTAAGCTTCAAAAATGTCTCTGTCTTTAGTGGCTTGGTGAAGATGTCAGCGATTTGGTCTTCAGACTTGCAATATGACAGCATCACAGTCTTCTTTTTAACTTGATGTCGGATGAAATGATATCTTGTCTCTATGTGTTTGCTTCGTCCATGTGCTACCGGATTTTTGGCAAGTGCAATAGCTGACTTTTTGTCGATAAGAATCTCTGTCAGTGCTTCTTGTTGGTGTTGCAATTCCTTCATCAGACTCCTAAGCCATATTGCTTGACACGCACATGTCGATGCTGCTATGTATTCTGCTTCGCAACTTGATAGAGCGACGACAGACTGCTTCTTTGATGACCATGAGAATGTTGCTGATCCGATATTGAACATGTAGCCAGATGTGCTCTTTCTTTCATCTAAATCTCCACCATAATCACTGTCGGTGTAGCCGACTAATCTTGAATCTGCATACTGTGTATAAAATAATCCTTGATCAATACTTCCTTGGACATACCTGAGAATTCTCTTGGTTGCCTTGAAATGCTCTTGCCTTGGCTCCTCCATGTATTTGCTCACCAGTCCTACCGCAAACACTATGTCGGGCCTAGTAATGGTTAGGTAGCGCAAGCTCCCGACTAAGCTCTTGTATAGAGTTTGATCAATAAAGCTTCCTGGTGATTCTCGCCTCAGCTTCACTCTGACTTCTGCAGGAGTTGTGACTGGATTGCAGTTGCTCATGTTGAACTTTTGAAGGATCTCCTTTGCATACTTCTTCCGAGAGATGAAGATTCCTTTCTCTGATTGTGATACTTCTACTCCAAGAAAGTATGACATTTCTCCAATGTCAGTCATCTCAAACTCCTTGATCATGTTCTTCTTGAACTCCTCGAATATTTTTGGATTATTGCCGGTGAAGATCATGTCATCCACGTAGAGACATACGAACATAATGTCTCCATCCTTCTTCTTGGTATAGAGAGAGTGCTCATACGGACTCTGTTGGAATCCGTTCTTCTGGAAGTATGCATCGATTCTGGCATTCCATGCTCTGGGTGCTTGCTTTAGTCCATACAATGCCTTCTTCAGCTTGTAGACCTTATCTTTTTGATTCTTCATCACATACCCAGGTGGTTGCTCGATGTAGACTTCTTCTTCTAGATAGCCATTAAGAAAGGCTGACTTCACATCCATCTGATAGATCTTCCACTGGTTCTGTGCTGCTAATGCGATAATGAGTCGAATGGTGTCGATCCTCACGACTGGTGCGAATACTTCTTCATAGTCAACTCCTTCTCGCTGACTATAGCCTTTTGCAACAAGCCTGGCCTTGTACTTCTCAATTCCGCCATCTTGATTTGTCTTTGTCTTGTACACCCACTTTACACCAATTGGTTTATGACCTTCAAGTAAGGTAGTGAGCTCCCATGTGTCATTTCTCTTGATTGCCTCGATCTCGTCATCCATGGCTTTTCTCCACTTGTCTTATTGAGCAGCTTCTTCATAGCTGACCGAATCACATTCTGCAAACAAGCAGAATAGTGTGTAGTCATCCATCATCTCGACAGGCTCTGTATCGTCATACAGATCTCTTAGGCTTCTCATCCTCCTTGTTGCTCTCCCTGAAGAGCTTCCTTCACTTGAGCTGGATGGTGATGATGTCGGCGTCGATGTTGAGGTTGATGGAGCTGGACTATTTGGTGGACTTTGTTCTGGTCTTCCAACCTCCTGCAAGTCATCATCATTATCTTTAAAGAACATACCTTTAATGTTTTTGTCTTCATCGGTTCATTTCCAATAATCTTCTTCATCGAACTCCACATCTCTTGAAATGATCATTTTCTTTGTAATTGGATTGTAGAGCTTGTATGCTTTTGTCCTCCTCTCGTACCCAATGAATATGCATTTTTCTCCTCGATCGTCCAACTTCTTTCTTTTCTGCTCCGGGATGTGTGCATATGCAATACACCCAAACACCTTCAGGTGATTGACGCTTGGCTTGATGTTGCTCCACATCTCCAATGGTGTCTTGAACTTGACACTCTTCGTTGGACATCGGTTGAGAAGGTAAACTGCACAGTCTACGGCTTCAGCCCAGTAAGTCTTCGGCAGGTACTTGCTCTTCAACATGCTTCTGACCATATCAAGAATGGTACGATTCTTCCGCTCTGCTATGCCATTCTGCTGTGGTGTGTAGGCGGCAGTGAGTTGTTGAATTATCCCGTACTGCTTGTTGAAATTGTTGAATGCCTTTGAAGTGTATTCTCCACCTCGATCTGATCGGAGCACCTTGATGTGGTACCCACTTTGCTTTTCTACCATCTCCTTGAATTCTTTGAATTTCTTCCGAGCTTCAGATTTCTCCTTCAGGAAATAAACCCATGTTTTTCTGCTATAATCATCAATAAATGTGAGAAAATACATGTTTCCTCCAAGAGAGACGACTTCAAATGGTCCTGCAATATCTGTGTGGACCAATTGTAGCAGCTCTGTTGCTCTTCTTGACTTTTCAACTTCGAAACTTCTTCTATGTTGTTTGCCCTTCATACAGCCTTCACATAGCTGGTTCGGATGGTTGATTTGCGGCAATCCTTTCATCATTTTCTCCTTCCATAGAAGATTCAGACCACTGAAAGCGAGATGCCCGAATCGTAGATGCCAGAGCCAAGTCTCGTCTTTTATGATTGTCTTCAGGCACTTGACAGAGTCAGCATGAATATTTAAGGTAAACGGTCTATTTCTAGACATGTTCACCTTTGCAATAACTTTATTTTTATTTTTAATAGTGAGGGCAAGGTCTTTTAGATGTATATCATAGCCTCTTTCAAGGAGCTGGCCTAGGCTCAAAATATTATTTCGTAATGCTGGAACATAGTAGACATCAGAGATGTACCTGTTCTCACCCGTCTTTGTCTGGATCATTATATTACCCTTGCCTTTTACTAGAATCTTTGACTGATCTCCAAAAGTAACATCTCCTTGTACCGTCTCGTTCAGCTCGGTAAAGAACTCCTTGATGCCGCACATGTGGTTACTGGCACCTGAATCTAGATACCAGATATCTTTATTCTTGTTTTCGCTCTATTGGTATGTCAGCAGGACTGTTGAAGTGTCTGCCTTCTCCCTTTCTACAAAGTTACTTCTTTCTGCCACTTTATTTGATTTCTCCCAACATTCGTAGCTGAGATGACCGTATCTCTTACATTTGTAACACTGTGGTTGAGATCTGTCCTCATGGTAACTTCTTCCTTGTCCTCGTCCTCGTGTGCCACGACCTCGTCCTCGATTGAATGATCGTTCACGATCTCTATTTTGATCTTGATTTTCATGGCCTCCTTGGTACTGTCTCCTACGACCTTGCTGGAAGTTTGAGCCACCTCGAAAGGAGCCTCTGCCTCTGTAGCCTCCACGTCCTCTTCGACTATCTTCTTTGATAGTCATCTTACTCTGCAAGGCTTGCTCTAGATTCTCCGCTTGATTTGAACTAATGTTTATATCTTGTTCATAAGCTTGCAGAGAACCTTGCAGCTCATCAATCGATACTTCGGAAAGATCTTTAGACTCTTGTATTGCCGGAATAATATATTTGAATTTAGAGTCTAAAGTCCTAAGTATCTTCTCCATAATTCTTACATCATTAATTGCTTCTCCATTTCTCTTTATTTGATTAGTTATTGTTTGAACTCTACTAAAATAGTCTGATATTGATTCTGTAGCTTTCATCTTCAAATTTTCAAATTCAACTCTTAATGCTTGGAGGCGTACCTTTTTGGCTCTTTCCGCACCTTAATAGGATTTTTGTAAAATCTCTCATGCTTCTTTAGAGGACAGGGCGTTGGAAATCTTCTCAAACGCTGATTCATCTACGCCTTGGAATATTAGGAACAAAGCTTTTTTGTCTCTTTTTCTGACCTCCTTCAGCTCACTCTTCTGTGTGGCGGTGAGAGTTGCTTCTGCTGCAAGTGACTCTGGTTTAGTGTAGCCATTCTCCACGAGCTCCCACAAGTCTTGCGAGCCGAGCAAGACTTTCATCTGGATACTCCAATTATCATAATTGGTCTTCATCAGTTTTGGAATCTGTGGCTGGATCATATTCGCCATCTCGTACACGAGCACCTTCGATTGGCCCGGCTAGATCGAACCTTGCTCTGATACCACTTTGATGGAATTTGTAGAATACAACACTCTATACAAAGGAAACTTTTATTGATAGAACACTTGAGAATACAACACTTGTTCTTACAAGAACACCTCACTTTCACACAACTCTTTTATTTTGGTGGACACTCACACAAGGCTACACTACACACTCAAGCTCTCAAGCTCACTTCTTGCTTGCTTTCCCAAATGAGAGCACAAGACCCCTATTTATAGTTGTTTAAGAGGGTTAGGAAGTGTGTAGAAAAGTTAATCCTAGCCATACATTACTAAGAAGTTTCTAGAAGAATAAATACTAGCCATACACTTGTATCTTCCTAGAAACTTCATGGTAGATATTTTGTAGGATGTTACTAGAAAGAAGTTCTAGAAAGTTGTTCTAGAAAAATCTAAGTTGGTGAGGAGATATTTTGTAGGATGTTACTAGAAAGAAGTTCTAGAAAGTTGTTCTAGAAAAATCTAAGTTGGTGAGAAATTCTAATAGTTTTATCTGTCATGGTAATCTAGTGAGGATGTTCATGACAAATAAAATATAACAGAGATGATGATTAGCTATACCTTGCATCCGTAAATAATTGTATAACTGAATATATTATAGTTATTAAATAAATAAATAAACAAATATAACTTGAGACCCAATATATATAGCCTTACATGCGCATGATACCTAATAGAAGAACCCGTGGTTGAGACAAATCCAAATGCTTCATCCCTTTGGCAGTTCCAAAGACCCAACCTCCGCGCGGCATCAGACGCCGCTAACGATAAATAAATAAATATCAATTTACGATCAGAGGCACTTCTCGAACAAAATATATGTATTATAATTAGTTAAGTTGTAACATTAATATAACAGTATATTTATTCTAAACACTCCCCTGTCCATTTACTCTTGGGCCGGCCTCCCGAGCCTGGCCCACAAAAATGGACCCAATGTGCGGGTCCCACACAAAAGCGCGCAAAGAGACGTAGCGTGGATTTGGATCCTCTCCACTACAAAAAAATAGTGGAGAAATCACTGCTTTTAATCTTAATCGTTGATTATTTAGTAGGCGGTTATGATACAATCTAAATCTAACACTTACCATACCCCCGTGTATTGCACTCATTCCTAATTTACACTAAAAGAAAAAATCACAACCATTAATTAGATAATCAATGGCCGTGATTATGTAGTGGTCCCTCCACTGTTTTTTTTTTTGTAGTGGAGAGGATCCGAATCCACGTAGCGTGGCGTCGGAGAACAAATGAGTGAGTTTAAACGTTGGGTCTTGTCACAAAATCTCCCTAATCACTAGCTTATTTTCTTAATGATGCTGACCAATGAGACACGATCGAGCCTCTTCTTTATAGACAAATCCTGTGAGCCTCTTCTTTATAGACAAATCCTGTGAGAGTCCTATAGAAATTAATCACTCTCTTCTGATCATTCCCCCCTCTCCCCTATCTCTAGAGCTCTCCTCTTAGCTTCTCTCCCCATCTTTTGCCGTACACAAACCTAACCTTGCGCTCAAATTGATAAGCCTTGGCTGCAAACGTCGTTACCATTAATGTTAGCTTCAGGCCTTTCAATTCCTTAAAGAGCCAGTGATCGATTCACTTGAAAAACTTGTTCGCTTTTATTTTTGCTAACTCTAGCTCAATGAGGTGCAATGAGAAAGAAACCCTAAGCCTAGGGGCTCTCCTCTCGCAAGCCAATGACCCCCCTCCGGCTCCGAAATCACAACACAGCATGATAGACTCTCTATTTGGGAGCAAGGGGAGCCTGAAGGGTATCGAGTCCTCCTCGTGCTCCAAGAACCTCCTCCCTCCTCCTCCCTCTCCAACCGACCCCGCATCAGAATCCAATGTCGACATCGCCCCCTCCGACCCCGATCTCACCACCGCTACGACCACCACTCTCCTTCAAAGCCTAAAATTTGATATTGATCTCGACGTCGAGGTCCAGTCCCCTGTCGACAACTCCATATGGGACTCCTTCTTGGCCGATCAACTCGACCCCTCTACCGACTTCATGCTCATCTCCTCGCCTAGGAGAGACTACATGATGATCTCTTCCCCTCGGAGAGACTACATGATCTCCTCCCCCAAGAGAGATAACATGATCTCATCGCCAAAGAGAGAATACATGGTCATAACCTCCCCAAAGAGAACCAACATGAGCATGAACACGTCAATAAATAGCTACAGCTGTGGATATGCCTATGGAGCTCAACAAGCCTATGGGAACCCTAACCCTAACACCACTACTAATACTTCTTCCTACACCACTAAAGGGAAGTCTCAAAGCCCTCTTCACAAGGTGTTCAACAACTCTAGGGCGTACAACTCATCGTCTTCCGCGGGTTATGAGGCGTTGTTGGATGAATACGGAATGTACTCGAACTTGAAGGACGGGAGCACGACGGAGGTTTATGAGGAGGCGGTTGGGGGGATGACGGCGACGTTGTTGGAGTGTTTGGGGATGCCGAGCTTGAATGCGAGGTATGGGGAGAGTAGCGAAGGGGATCATCAAGGGTATGTCAATGGAATTGGGATCGGTAGTAGTGTCGATGGAGGAGGAGGAGGGTTGATGGGGCTTAATGAGGGTAGTTTGGGCAGTTGCAAGTCGGAGACTGGGGAGCATGGACTGCTGGGGCCAATGACTACTTGTGATCAGACCGAGCAAGTGAGTCTCTCTTCCAAGATCTCCTAAAAGAGTAAACAGTTTTGACTGGTTATATCGATCTGCGTTGGGATGACACAAATTCAAATCATATATTATTAATTATCTGAATATATGGATGATCTGAATTATAGTAGATTAGATGAATACCATGTCAGTCACATATTACCCAAAATCATGTATTACTATTTTACTAAAATCGTGCACAAATGTTGCAACTTAGTATTCTTATGACCAACAAATTAATTACATATAGTGTCATGCTGATTCCGAGTTAATCTAGATTAACTTTTCATACCAATCCCTTATATTTTTAGCTGAAATTTTTGAATATTGTCGTCTGTCAAAAAAGAATATATTTTAGCATATTCTGCATTATTCATGAGAAGCACCACACGGACATGATATGAGCAGGTTTATAATGTTTTAAACAAATAAAAGGTATTTGGGTGTGATCAAAGTAGATATTGACAAAGTTGGAGGTAGGCCGGTTTTGTCAAAATAAAGTTAACGTACGTATATTTAGTTTCTCCTGTCTTAATTACCATAAAAGGAATTCTGGGGTTTAGCCTGAAAAAGTAAATATTCAACAAATAGGCATATAGAGGAGGTATATTAATTATGCGTGTGTATATATATATCCTTTTGTAATTGCGACTATAATATTTAATAACCAGTCTAAGAAATTTTAGGTATATATGTTTATATGCATGTATATTTACGTGTGTGCATGTCTGCATGCGCTTGCATGGAAATGACCTCATCCTAATATTATGCATAATTAATTTCAAAGAATTAATTATTCAGCAATTACTCTAACATCTATCCAAGTGTTGATTATGACTACCAAACTTCAGCGATAAGATCAAGATGCTGATGATTTAATCCACTTCATACAATTTTTTCCTACAATTTACAGAGCACCGATTATCCATTTCGTTTGGGGATTTAAATGTTGTCCATGTTAGCTAGATAGACAGTGAAGAATATTCTTCAATCACAATTGATTACATTTAGTAGTTATTAAATTTTGTTTCAGTAAATTAAAAAAATGTAAAACGTCGAGTCCAGCTTTTTTTTATGCGAGAATGAGATCAGTTCAAGTATAAAGTACGATTGTATTAATTAATATTCAAATGATTGTGATTCATTACAAATATAACTATTTGCAGGAACAGGACAACGGCCTGCACCTAAGCTTCCACCTCCTCCATGCCCGCCTGCCGCCGCCCAGTCAGTTCGCCAATGCGGAGACTAGCGGCTCTGCGGCCCGCCGCGTTCCCTCCACCATCTCGCACCCGCCCACCGTCTCCCCCCTCGCGTCGCTGACTCGTATGCCAGCGCGTCGCCTCCCCCCCCATTACTTTGCTTGCACCGCCCCTCCCTTCCGCCCCCGCCCTCCTCTCCCCCCACCCTTCTCCCTCCCACCCCTACCACTATTCCGACCCGCATCCCTTGCACCACCTCAAAATTCTACCAAATCCTCTACCAGCGCCCTGGCCCCTACCGTGAAATTCGCCCACCCCACTTCACCGCCTAACCAGCGCCATTTCTGGCGCTTCGCACGCGCCGCAGGGCCCACATCCACGTCATCGCACCCTCGACATTCTGCCATCGGCTACCCAGTGCGGCCGGCCATTCTGGCAGGCCCTGGCGCGCCCGTCCCCGGTAGGCCTCCTTCGTTCGACGGATACACCGCCGCACGCATGCGCCCTACCCGGCCCGCGGGTTGCTGCAGAGAGCCACCGGACCGATCACCTCGCTGAGCTGCGCACAGCTCGTTGATGCCGGTTCGCCGTTCGCAGTCACCCCGTCCGTAGGCCGGATAGTCTGAGTCCGCACCTCCCGGGCTCGCCATATAGCTACACCGACACGCGGGATGCAGCGCGGCTGCGCGCCTGTTCAACTCGCGTCAACCGCGCTCCACCGTGTCCCCGGACCCCACCTCGGTAAGTAACATACGGATTGGGATCATATACTAATAAGAAGCTCCTAAAATCTCCTAATAGGGAGATCCCACCCTTTCATTTTCATTATGACCTTTCATTTTACCATCCATAATTGTGGGGCCCCCTCCCAACTCTTCACAATTCTTATTAGGAAATATTAGTATTAGTAGAGGATCCCAACTTGTAACATACATACACTCGTTGGATGAAATATATGGATAATTCCAAAACAACATTTAACATAAAATTTTAAAATAAAATCATTAAATGCTTACGTACTTAATTTCGAATTTTGCTAATACGCACTAACCATATTATTATTATTATTATTATTATTTATTTATTTATACTCTGGAGCTAGATGCCATTATGTGGCTAGAAATTTTAAGATCGTATTAATCATATATTTATAGCTAATTTAACACACTTCTACTACTTATAATAAAAAAAACCTTTTAACATTTGACATATTTGGTGCAGTTTCCTAAATCCAAATTATTTGTCACAGGCAACCTCCTAGCAATGATAAGAGATCAGGCCCCCAACATAGTAACCTTAGTGGAACAAGAGGCCAGCCACAACGGCCCGCACTTTTTGGGCCGGTTTTTGGAGGCCCTACACTACTACTCAGCCATCTTCGACTCCCTGGACGCGACTTTCCCTCCCGACTCCGCTGCTCGGGCCAAGCTCGAGCAATACATTTTCCAGCCCGAGATCCGCAACATTGTGGCTTGTGAAGGCCCGGCCCGATTCGAGCGGCATGAGAGACTCGAAAAATGGAGGAAGATAATGGAGGGAAAGGGTTTTAAAGGGGTGGACTTGAGCCCAAACGCTGTGGCCCAATCCAAGATTCTGTTGGGCCTTTACTCTTGTGATGGGTACAGGCTCACTGAGGATCAAGGTTGCTTGTTGTTGGGTTGGCAGGATCGGCCCATTATAGCCGCCTCCGCCTGGCGGTGTTGACGTCATCGTCACGTCGATAATTAGTGGCAGGATCGGCCCATTATAGCCGCCTCCGCCTGGCGGTGTTGACGTCATCGTCACGTCGATAATTAGGATAAAAGGTAAATGGCAGGTAACTTACTCATCTATATCTTCAGTAGCACTTATTATCTTTCACTTGCTTTATTAGCAGCTGATAAATACTACTGAGGATATAGACGAGGAAGATTATCTGTAGTTTAAATCTTTTAAGTATTTGATTGATGTTATGAGTTTTTTTTTTTTCTTTCCTCTTGGTGTACTTGATGCTTGTTAGTGTTCGTTGTGTTGTTGATATAGCTGGATATGGGAGGACAAGATTGGGATTAAAGGTGGGATTATGTCTCTTGTGGTATAAATAAATGTAGATGTGTGTAGTAGTAGTATATCCGTAACTATAAGCCTGTCTAATGCATTTATTTTTTGTAGTTAAATTGGAGAAAATGTAATAGATGTTGTTGGTGTATTGATGTATGATGTGATTTATATGATGTATACATGCAATTTGAGCTACTGCTATTAAGTTTTAACTTGTTTTCTTCTATGTTTGTTTCACTAAATTCTGGTTTAAATTAATATTCTGTTGGGCCTTTACTCTTGTGATGGGTACAGGCTCACTGAGGATCAAGGTTGCTTGTTGTTGGGTTGGCAGGATCGGCCCATTATAGCCGCCTCCGCCTGGCGGTGTTGACGTCATCGTCACGTCGATAATTAGAATAAAAGGTAAATGGCAGGTAACTTACTCATCTATATCTTCAGTAGCACTTATTATTTTTCACTTGCTTTATTAGCAGCTGATAAATACTACTGAGGATGTAGACGAGGAAGATTATCTGTAGTTTAAATCTTTTAAGTATTTGATTGATGTTATGAGTTTTTTTTTTTCTTTCCTCTTGGTGTACTTGATGCTTGTTAGTGTTCGTTGTGTTGTTGATATAGCTGGATATGGGAGGACAAGATTGGGATTAAAGGTGGGATTATGTCTCTTGTGGTATAAATAAATGTAGATGTGTGTAGTAGTAGTATATCCGTAACTATAAGCCTGTCTAATGCATTTATTTTTTGTAGTTAAATTGGAGAAAATGTAATAGATGTTGTTGGTGTATTGATGTATGATGTGATTTATATGATGTATACATGCAATTTGAGCTACTGCTATTAAGTTTTAACTTGTTTTCTTCTATGTTTGTTTCACTAAATTCTGGTTTAAATTAATATTCTGGTCAACAGTTCTATGAATTGTAAATGATTTTAGGTAGAAACGAAAAATTTTGATTACTAGAAGTCTAACATTAATTAGTTGTGGTGTATTACTCACGTACGTTTGCAGAAGTAAAAATAATTCAACCATCTTCGACGCTAACGTGCCTCCTTGTTATCGTAGCATTTGCTTTCCCACGTACTCATTGTAATTGGACACTCCCACACGTACTTTTGTCTGATGCCTTACTTTGATGATTTTTTTTATGTCCGCTCACGTTTGATGCGAAAGCAATCACATCGCTGATATTCTTCATGAATTTTTTTTTCTCTCCTTTGGAGTCTAAGGGTGTGTTCGGTAAAATGAACAGAACTAGGTTAAGATTAGTGCTAGCCTAGTTTTATACTAAACTAATTTTTTTGGACCAAACCCTCTCTGATCTAAAAGAAAACTGG